TGTAGTAGAGTGGAGCTGACATGGCGTACAAATTATTTCCACTACAGTGCAAAAATCTATGTTTATCACTTAGGGTGCATGCCTGCCACTTCTGTGAATTGGGCCCTTAGAATAGATGTATTTTGATCTAATGGCCATCTGCTCATGAATATCACATTTGCTAGTTTAAAAAATAGTTTGATTCCCATAAACACGTAATTTGGTAAGATTATATCGTTTCACCAGGTGGCATCACAATAGCAAAGTTTGATGTTTACTGTAAGCCAATAATCAAGCTGGATATTCCGTTGCATGCTTTATATTTGTCAGCTTTAAGTATTCATCTCTCATTTTACTTTAGTTTTCGCTGCCAACTGCTCTTGCCAGAATTGTTGTGTGATATCTGTGTCATAGTTTAACACAGGGATGGAGAACCTGTGGCATTCCAGGTGTTGTTGAACTCCAACTCCCATCATCCCTAGGCAGCATGGCCAGTGGTCAAGGATGATGGGACTTGGAGCCCAACAACACAAGGAAGGCCACAGGTTTCCCATACATGATTTAGCAAGAGGCTAAAGTGCTGCAGACCATTAGTATCAGCCAAAAATCTCTAGCAAGGTGTCACCTTTGGTTTTACCATCTCTTTATAATTTAAATGCACCTTGGGGCTTATACTTCAGGTGTAGAAAATGGTATGTAATATTCAAAGTCAACACTGCAGGATTACCCTGAGGAACTTGTCACAGTAAGTCAATAATGAAGTCCCTTCAATATCTATCCCTTTTTCGTTATTGTTTAATTTGACAATGCATTTCAGTTGCTTTCAGCAACTGAAGACACACAGCATTTTATTTGTGGGAAACTGACCCACTAAGTTTACCAAGAAGTAAATCCATTAAAATTTCAAGGATCTTACCCAGAGAAGTTGTAATATCCACCTACATCCTCTGTGCCTATGTTAAGAATATTATGTCTGATACTTTTTTTACTGTTCAGCTATATTGCAGTTAAACTTACCCTGGTGAGTAGCCATACTGTTTAAACTAGCTTGGTGCTTTTCAAGGAAACTCAATTAAGAAGAATCCATGTAAAAACTGTTTGGCACTTACACATGTTATCGTAGTAGTTTGGGCATCACAGTAAGCCATGATTTATCATGACAGGAATGATCGACAGGCTTTTGAAAGGAGGAAATTGGAAGCTTTCGCTTTTGATTAACTTCAGTCAAGCATTGCATGTGGACCCTAAACTGTGGTTGATACTAACTTTGGTTTTCTGGAAAAAAGCAGTTTCCTAACTCATTTGAAATAAACAAATTTCAAACAACGAGTCATAGCTAAAATTAATATAGCCGTAGTTTCTCAGGTTTGGGCCATTTTGGTAAAAGACAAGTCTGATCACAAAAAGGAAGCAAAATCTTCCAATCGCCTCTTTGCAACACTGCTAGTGAAAGAGGGGAGAGAAGGGGACATTTGAGCCCAAAGTTGGCTGTGGCCCATCGCTGTCAAGATCACCATTGTTTTTTATAATGTCCAAAAACAGTCATTAGCAGGCTTAATGAGCAATCCTGTAGGAGGATCTGCTGGGATGAGTGGGTTAGGATCCAGCAGATCTCTGGCTCAGCCAAGAAGGTCCTCATACAGCCAGATTATGCCAGCCTAACTTCCTCACTTAGGGACGCGGGTGGCGCTGTGGGTAAAAGCCTCATCGCCTAGGGCTTGCCGATCGAAAGGTCGGCGGTTCGAATCCCCGTGGCGGGGTGCGCTCCCATTGTTCAGTCCCAGCGCCTGCCAACCTAGCAGTTCAAAAGCACTCCCGGGTGCAAGTAGATAAATAGGGACCGCTTACTAGCGGGAAGGTAAACGTGTTTCCGTGTGCGGCTCTGGCTCGCCAGAGCAGCGATGTCACGCTGGCCACGTGACCCGGAAGTGTCTGCGGACAGCGCTGGCCCCCGGCCTCTTGAGTGAGATGGGCGCACAACCCCAGAGTCTGTCAAGACTGGCCCGTATGGGCAGGGGTACCTTTACCTTTAACTTCCTCACCTTCATCTTAGCCAGAGATAAACCAGCATATGTCCCCCATACCAGCTCAGCCAGGACTCAGTTGACAGAGTCAGGCCTGGCAGATCTTAAACTGGAGTAAGCCCTGAAAAGGGGGCGTGGTGGGGATAGGACTGGGTGGGGGCACTTAGGCTGGATCCAAAACCCATTCAGGTTGGTCACATGACCTGGCAACCTGATATAAATTAAGCTGGCAAAAAAGGGTGGTGTAACTCAAGACACAAGCTTCTTGTGTATAGGATTGCTCCCTTAAGTCAATTAAATCACACCGATAATTTTCCAGGTGCTCCAGCTTTTTCCTACTGAAATTTCTTTGATCTGTTAAGGTTTAAAACTTTTTCATTTCCCCCTTCCTTTTATTCTAACTATTTTAAGTCTATAGAACAGAGCCTTCAGTAGCAAAGCACTGCCATAGGGAGCAATACTAACCCTAGATCTGCCAGAATGAGCAAGTTAGGATTCATCACAGTGCCTTCATTCTGGCTCAACTGTAGCTAAGCCAAGATTTGTGGAACATATGCCCTGAAAAAATGAGTGTTCCGAGGGAGAGGGGTGGGACTAAGCACACACTGGATCATCCTGGTCACATAACCTGGTAATCTGGCGTAATATATGTTGCCAAAAAGGGTGCTGTAAATCAAATTCTGTTTATAAGGCATGTTTTCCCTCTGCCAGGCTTAGATTGACTCAGTTGGCACTAGCCCACTCTTGAATGGTGTTTTGATCTAGCAGACACTGGTTCAAATATTATATTATATTTTATATTATATTATATTATATTAATTATATTGGCTCCCCATACTTGGGATTGCTCCTTTTGTATTTCTGTTTTTTGACAGCTGTTTCAACATTTTAAAAAATGAACTATTCTCTAATTTTGCACTATGAATGATGTCACTGGGTTGGTGAGGGTATGTTTAACGCTATTTATATCCGACCATGCATCATTTCAGATGCATAAATCTTAATGCTTCTTAAATTAATGTTGTGATAACAGGAACGCTAATAAAAAGAATCCCCTGTCGATTTGTACCATCGTTTACATTTCAGCCTTTCAGTAATGGGTAGAGGAAAGCAGATTTGCCCAGTGACTAATTGTTCTTACCTTACTTTCAAATCCAAGTGTATATTCTTGCTCAGTTGCCATTATTGCCAAGGTGCTCTATTGGACTATCCATCTTGGAACTCTGATACGCAAGTTCAAATTTATCTTAAACCATAGATAGCTCTAAGGCTGCTTATACAAACTTAAGAGGAAGTAACTCCCATAAATCTCAGTGGGACTATTGGAATAAATGTGATTATTCATGTTAATGTCTCTGAGCCATCTGTAAAATAACAATAGTAGAGGTAACATTGTGTGCTTTACATGTAAGAATCCAATGTTTTGGGATGCTTAGAAGTTGGGAGAGAAAGTGGCAACGACAGATGATTGGCTGGGAAGAAGGGGAGAAAAGGTTTGTCAAAGAGCAATGGGATGCTGAGACTTGGTTCATGGGTGGGAAAGGAAAGGCGGAACTGGAAGAAGATGGACCAGGTTCTAAGCCAATTAGGAAAATTCTGGAGCAAAGGTCTTTGAAATGAGTGGTACTGGGACTTCTTGATCATCTGTGTGACTTGAGAGGCACTGGATGTATAGGGGTCTTTTCTAAAACAGAAAGGGAGATATAGAAGGAGGATAAAAGTTTCACAGGATTGCTTTTGTGAAGTAAGGAGATGTCTCTCTGTGTCTGAAAGATTCCCAGCTTCTGGAGCCCAAAGCTTCAGCTTTTGTGTTCAAGTTGGGGTTTAATGATTAAAATAAAACAAAGTCTAAAATGTTGTCTGGCTGAGTAAGAATGGGTGTGACACATTTTGAAGTGGTGATAGCCTGGAAGTAAACTTACAGACGATCTTGTTTCTTCCCAGCTTAGCAAAACAAACAAAAGGGTAGAAATAAACATGCAACTGAAGACATTAGCTGCCTTCACAGGTCTTCACAGCAGAACCTTGGGGTTATGATTTGCCAATTTAATAAGCAATATCCAGGGATGGCCCAGGAGGTCAGGGTTGGAGGCAACAGGTATATCAGAGGGTTGATTATTTTGTGCCAGATAAGACAGCATTTCATAGAAGGTGCTACACCTGGCCCTTGCCAATGAAAGAGGCTTCTCCTGTGTCTTCCATTTCTAAGACTGGAATGGAGACTCCTTTCTAAACTCAGCCTATCTCAAAATTAATCAAAAATTAGGGCTATTTCATAACACCACTCACAAGGTTGTTTGGAAGGAAAAAAATATAAATATTTCAAATCATTGTTCGCATTAATGGACTAATATAAGTAACAGTAGCACACACTTCTTAATAATAATTCATAATGATGATTAATTTGATCTCCATGATAGATTTCTTTTACATCTACCCTGCTTCGTTACCATATAACTTTATAAATGCTTCTTTGCTCATGTTGAGTGCTTCAAGTAGTATGTAGTGTCGAGTGCTGGACTTGGATGATGGAGATTTGAGTTTAAATTCCTACTTACCTTTGAAACTCACCAGATGACCTTAGTTGTTGTATAAATAAAATGAGACTTAGAAATGTAATAAATGAATAAATAAAAAAATAAACACAACCTTTTACCTAATTTATTCCAGAAAATCCCAATTAGTTACAGTGGCAAAATAAGTGTTGCAATTCAGAAAAAGTGGCTGAAGAATGAATTCTTAGCTTTATTCATACCAGGTTATTCTGTTAGTTAAACATAAATCCTGCTGAAATGTCATGGAATATTTTTAATTGCAACTGAAAATGCCGAATGCCATGCTTAAATTGACAGGATGTGTATCTTCATAAAGCTGAGAAATAGGGATATGTGATCTAAAATGTAAGCCTCAGTCTCACTGTAGTAGAAACAGTGGTGGGAATGAAACGAAATGTGTACGTTCTGTAATGAATTTTTATTTTCTTATGTATTTTTCTAGCTTATGTTCCTGAGGAAGAACTGAAAGCAGCAGAGATTGATGAAGACAGCGTGGAGGATGACGGACTACCTCTGGACATCCAGGAAACTGACTACATGTGCAATGATGAAACGGAGATCAAAGAGGCTCAAAGTTACCAGAACTCTCCAGTCAGCACAGCAACGAATCAGGACGCAGGTTATGGGTCGCCATTCAGCGAAAACAGTGACCAACTGGCTCATTTCAAAAGCACTTCCTCCAAAGAAGAGAGAGAAGATCACCAATGCTTGGACAATGCTTCCTATCCACAGGACAGCTTGGCACAAATAAAAGCTGTCTATGCAAATTTACTATCGGAGTCTTGCTGGTCTAGTTTAGCTTTGGATTTAAAAAAATCAAAGAGTAATGAAAATAGCCAGAAGGAAAATACCACTAATAGCAACTCTACTATCACTACCCCAAGTACCAATACTAGTACTAGTACCAGTACCAGTACCAACACTAGTATCACTACAAGTATCAGTAGTACTAATAACAGTAACAATAACAGTGGTGGCTCAGGTTATGACTGGCATCAAGCGGCATTAGCCAAAAACTCTGCAGCAGACCTCATACGGACTTCTCCCAGAACCTAGTCTATTCAGCACAGTGCAGCTTTACCGGCAAAACAATAAACTGTATGGTTCTGTGTTCACTGGTGCCAGTAAGTTCCGGTGCAAAGACTGCAGTGCAGCATATGACACACTAGTGGAGCTAACAGTGCACATGAATGAAACTGGACATTATCGGGATGACAACCGAGATAAAGAAGCTGAAAAGACCAAACGGTGGTCAAAGCCCAGAAAGCGATCACTTATGGAAATGGAAGGCAAAGAGGACGCCCAGAAAGTGCTAAAGTGCATGTACTGCGGCCATTCGTTTGAATCTTTCAAGACTTGAGTGTCCACATGATAAAAACAAAGCATTACCAGAAAGTGCCTCTGAAGGAACCAGTACCAGCCATCACCAAACTGGTGCCTTCTACCAAAAAGCGAGCACTTCAAGACTTAGCTTCACCTTGCTCACCTGAGCCGACGGCCATCACTTCGGAGAGCACACTTAGCGAGGCAGGGAAGGACCAGAAAACTGCCAACCCCTACGTGACTCCAAACAACCGCTATGGCTATCAAAATGGTGCTAGCTACACTTGGCAGTTTGAGGCCCGCAAAGCCCAGATCCTAAAATGCATGGAGTGCGGCAGTTCTCACGACACTTTGCAGCAGCTGACTGCTCACATGATGGTCACGGACATTTTTTGAAAGTAACTAATTCTGCTTCCAAAAAGGGGAACAGCTAGTATTGGATCCTGTGGTAGAAGAAAAGATCCAGTCCATACCTTTGCCTCCCACCACACACACGAGATTACCAGCTGCAAATATTAAAAAGCAGCCCGATTCTCCAGCCGAATCTACAACTTCTGAGGAGAAGAAGGACATGGAAAAGGAAAAGGTGATCGTTAGTGAAACAGACAAAAAGATTAAAGAAGAGAATGAGGACTCTGCGGAAAAATTTGAGGCACCGTTGGAGCTTTAGCTTCAGGTGGTAGAAAATGGTTATGTAATATTCAAGTCAACACTGCAGGATTTACCCTGGGAACTTGTCACAGTAAGTCAATAGATGAAGTTCCCTTCAATATCGTATCCCTTTTTCGTTATTGTTAATTTGACAATGTCAGTTGCTTTCGCAATGAGACACACAGCCATTATTTGTGGAACTGACCCACTAAGTTTTAGCCAAGAGTAAATCCATTTAAAATTTCAGGAATCTTACCCAGAGAAGTTGTATCCACCACGTCCTATGTTAAGTATTATGTCTGAACTATTACTGTTCAGCCTTTATTGCAGTTAACTTCCCTGGGTGAGTAGCCATACTGTTAGCTTGGTGCTTTTTCAAGGAAACTCAATTAAGACAGAAAATCCATGTAAACTGTTTGCATTACACATGTGTATTGTTAGTTAGTTTGGGCATTCACAGTAAGCCATGAATTTTCATTGACAGGATGACGACAGGCTTTTGAAAGGAGGAAATTGGAAGCTTTCGTTTTGATTTAACTTCAGTCAGCATTGATTGGACCAAAACCGGGTGAAGTACTTTGGTTCTGAAAAAAGCAGTTCCAACTCGATTTGAAATAAACAAATTTCAAACAACGGTCATAGCCTAAAAATTTAATATATAGCCGGTTTTCTCAGGTTGGGCTTTTGTTAAAAGACAAGTCTGATCCACAAAAGGAAGCAAAATCTTCCAATCGCCTCTTTGCAACACTTTGCTATGTGAAAGAAGGGGAGAGAAGGGGACATTTTGAGCACCAAAGTTTTGGCTTTGGCCCATCGCTGTCAGTCACCAGTTGTTTTTTATAATGTCCCAAAAACAGTCATTAGCAGGCTTATATGAGCAATTCCTGTGAGGATCGCTGTGATGGTGGGTTAGGATCCAGCAGATCTCTGCTCAGCCAAGAAGGTCCTCATACAGCAGATTTGCCAGGCCCTAACTTTTCCCTCAACTTAGGGACGCGGGTTGGCGCTGTGGTAAAAGCCTCATCGCCCTAGGGCTGACCGATCGAAAGGTCGCGGTTCGAATCCCGTTGGCGGGGTGCCGCTCCCATTGTTCAGTCCCAGCGCCCTGCAACCTAGCATTCAAAAGCCACTCCGGGTGCAAGTTAGATAATAGGGACCGCTTACTAGCTGGGAAGGTAAACGGTGTTTCCCGTGTGCGGCTTCTGGCCTCGCCAGGCAGCGGCTGTCACGCTGGCCACGTGACCGGAAGTGTCTGCGGACAGCGCTGGCCCCCGGGCCTCATGAGAAGTGAGATGGTGCGCACAACCCCCAGAGTCTGTCAAACTGGCCCGTATGGGCAGGCGGGTACCTTTTTACCTTTAACTTCCTCACCTTCATCTTAGCCCAGAGATTAAACCAGCATTATGTCCCCATACCAGCTCAGCCAGGGACTCAGTTGACAGAGTCAGGCCTGCAGACTTAAACTGGAGTAAGCCCTGAAAAGGGGGCGTGGTGGGATAGGACTGGGTGGGGGCACTTGGGCTGGATCCCAAAACCTTCAGGTTTGGTCACATGACCATGGGCACCTGATATAAATTAAGCTGGCAAAAGGGTGGTTGTAACTCAAGACACAAGCTTCTTGTGTATAGGGATGCTCCCTAAGGTCAATTAATCACACCGATAATTTTCCAGGTGCTCCAGCTTTTTCCCTACTTGAAATTTCTTTGATCTGTTAAGGTTTAAAACTTTTCATTTCCCCCCTTCCTTTTGTCTAACTATTTTAAGTCTTATAGAACAGGAGCTTTCCAGTGCAAAGCACTGCCATAGGGAGCAATACTAACCCTGAATCTGCCAGAATGAGCAAGTTTTAGGATTCATCACAGTGCCTTTCATTCTGGCTCAACTGAGCTAAGCAAGATTTGTGGAACATATGCCCTGGAAAAAATGCAGTGTTCCGATGGAGAGGGGTGGGACTTAAGCACACACTGGATCATCCTGGTCACATAAGACCTGGTAATCTGGCGTATATATGTTGCCAAAAAGGGTGCTGTAAATTCAAATTTTGTTTATAAGCATGTTTCCCTCTGCCAGGCGGTTAGATTGACTCAGTTGGCACGTAGCCCACTCTTGAATGGTGTTTTATCTAGCCAACACTGTTCAAATATTATATTATATTATATTATATTAATTATATTACTATATTGGCTCCCATACTTTGGGGATTGCTTCCTCCCCTTTTGTTATTTCTTGTTTTTTGCCAGTCTGGTTTCAACATTTAAAAAATGAACTATTCTCTAATTTTGCACTTATGACATCATGTCACTGGGGTTGGTGAGCGGGATGTTTCCAACGCTATTTATATTCCGACCATGCATATTTCAGATGCATAAATCTTAAGGCTTCTTTAAATTAATGTTGTTGGATAACAGGAACGCTAATTAAAAAGAATCCCCTGTCGATTTGTACCATCGTTTCATTTCAGCCTTTCCAGTAATGGTTAGATGGAAAGCAGATTTGCCCAGTGACTAATTGTTCTTTACCTTACTTTTCACAATCCAAGTTGTATATTACATGCTCAGTTGCATTATTGCCAAGGTTGCTCTATTGGACTATCCCATCTTTGGAACTCTGAATTACGCAAGTTCAAATTTATCTTAAACCAGTAGAAGCTCTAAGCTGCTTATACAAACTTAAGAGGAAGTAACCCCATAAATCTCAGTTGGACTATTGGAATTAAATTGTATTATTCAGTATTGGTTGTTTATTTTTTTGTTTGTGTTGTGATATAATTCATATTTGTATCTTTGTGGTGATTGGTCTTCTCGTGTGTATTCCCGTTATTGATATATTAATTACAAGTAATTTAATGTCTCTGAGCCATCTGTAAATACAATAGTTAGAGGTAACATGTGGTGCTTTACATGTAAGAATCCAATGTTTTGGGATGCTTAGAATTAAGGAGAGAAAGTGGCACGACAGATGATTGGCTGGGAAGAAGGGAGAAAGGTTTGTCAAAGAGCAATGGGATGCTGAGACTTGGTTCATGGGTGGGAAAGGAAAGCGAACTGGAAAGAAGATGGACCAGGTTCTAAGCCAATTAGAAATTCTGGAGCAAAGTGTTTTAAATGAGTGGTACTGGGACTTCTTGATCATCTGTGTGACTTGAGAGGCACTGGATGTATAGGGTCTTTCTAAAACAGAAAGGGAATATAGAAGGAGGATAAAAGTTTCACAGGATTGCTTTGTGAGAGTAAGGAGATGTTTCTCTGTGTCTGAAAGATTCCAGCTTCTTGGAGCCCAAAGTTAGTATGTGTTCAGTTGGTTTAATATTAAATAACAAAGTCTAAAATGTTTGTCTGGCTGAGTAAGAATGGCGTGTGACACATTTGAAGTGTGATAGCCTGGAATGTAAACTTACAGACGATCTTGTTTCTTCCCAGCTTAGCAAAACAACAAAAGGGTAGGAAATAAACATGCAACTGAAGACATTAGCTGCCTTCACAGAGTCTTCACAGCCAGAACCTTGGGTATGATTTGCCTTGCAAAGTTAGAAACTTGTGCATTTCCCAGTACTGTGTGAAATTTAGAACATTTTAAAAATCGCAAGCAATTTTTGCAGCACGAATGTTAAAAACAATGCATTTCGAAACCCTTTAAAAATAAAATTTAGCATTACTATACTAGTCCACGGAAAAGCACACATGGGCTGATGCAAAGCCTCATATGTACTCAAATGCACAAAGCTTCTGTGTGTGTATATGGAGCCCTATTTACTTTAATGGAGAGGGCAGCCTTGAGGATAAGGGAACCTTGTGTGCATCATACCTCCTAAATAGCTCACTTAGGGTGACTGTGATCCTGATTCCATGTTCTTCTGTGCAGACGTTGTAGTACACAGGGTGTAAGAGGACAGAGTGTAAATATACCTTATGTCTCTTTGCAAAAGCACTGGCAGATGGACCTCTGTGTTAAAGCAGCATCAGTTTGTACAATGATATTTTAGGGATAAGAAGGTGTTTCTTCTGTTGGACTGATTTTGGTGCAACCTTTAAATGGCTTGTAACTGTAGCAAGCTGATTTCCTATTGTGTTCCCAAGCAAACG